GTGAGTACATGGCATGTTGAAGAGAGAAGATTCAGAAGTCACCCCTAATAGAAAGTCTTGGTCGTGGTGAAATTCCACTGTATATTTTTGTGTGTGGAGGGGAGGTCTTGCAAATACACTATATAAGGGAACCCAGCCCACTTAGTGCCATGGACTGGAGCTGTGTTCCATTCAGAGGTGCACAGATGAGGATTTGGGAAGTGAGTGGGGAGAGTGTGGCCATTGGATCTAAGATTGTGTAGAACCACTGGCCACCACACACACACACAGACACACACACGTAAGGTTTCACAGGGGTTTCAGAGCATCCATATAGTTATATTCTATCACCTCTAATCATGCAAGAGCACTGCACTAAAAAGGATTTTAACATCTTTACTATCAATTCACAAACATCAATTCATTTGTTCAATAAAACAAAGTATTTACTTACCAAATACCTAAATGCAATATAGTGAGAAAAGCTATCGGTAGCTCACTGGGGAGATATTTTTTGTTGAGATACAGTTTATGCAACTGTATTAAAACCTCTTTAGTTTTTAGAGAGATTTTCATAGAAGCCTTTTACATTTTGGTAGACCCTTATTGTTTCATCCTATTACATGCTATAGGATTTTCCCATAAGTGGTCCCCTAGCTTCTGTGGCAATATTCCCTTCCAGAGCAATCCTGGCTAAAGATTCAGCAGCTTTTCACAGCTACTACCTCCCAACTCTGGTAAACTTTCAGCTTCCAAGCCCTATTTCAGCAAAGCACTTAAGCATATATTTAACTTTAAAAATCTGCTTAAATACTTTGCTATATAAGTGGCCTGAACACCTCTGCTGGGTTTTCTTCCAACAGATAGTGAAAACTCCAGGTTAATTCCTTCCATCTCTTTCCCCCACGTCTGCTTTGCCAGTATAGCCTCCTCGATTCCTGTTCTTTTTTCATTCAACTTCCCAAATACATAAAATCAGGAAAATACTCAACCCACACACACAAAAAGGGGAAAAGATAGAGAGCTCAGCATATGAAATGCATACACAAACCTCTTAAATCTTCAGAATTCCAACATCCAGCAGGAGTCCATAATGAGATTACTAGATTAATAGATATAAAGCCAGAAGGGATCACTGTGATCATCTAGTCTGTCCTCCTGCATAAAACTTCCCTGAATTAATTCACCTGAACTAGAATATATCTTTTTTTTAAAAATCAATCTTGATTTTAAAATTGCCAGTGATGAAGAATGCAGTATGATGTATGTTTCTTTATGTGCTTCAGTAAAATACCCAGAATGTTTATTTCAGCTAGCAGATATTTAACAGCAGTTCTGATGCCTGTGTACTGAGAACAAATTGAAAGTTTTGGCCATGCTTGTGTTTGTGAGTGTACACTTTCCTTTTTTGCATTGTGGTTGTTGCAGGTTAGAATGGTGGAAGCCTCCTAATTGTGGATTTTTGTTTGGGTTGTAATACTAAGCTCTAAATTCAGCTGTTGAGTTTAGCATGTGTGTGTTGGTGGCCTGATGTACAGGTCACACTAGTTGACCTAGTGGTCCCAGATGGTCTTAAAGTTTATGATTCTGTGACTAAATAGATTGCATCTATATTTCTACAGCTTTTCTTTTCTCAAATTCCAAAGCATCCATGCAAGTTCCCTTCTTTCACAGGGAACATCCTGGCAACTCCAAGCATTGTGCTGGTTACATGAGGAAATTATGTCCTCAGCAAGTACAATGTATTCTTTAACCTTCATCTTCACATTTTGCATTGTTAAATGGCACAAAGCACAAAGTAAGTTTGCTGAATAAACAAACAACTTGCTTATAGTGGGAGTGAAAAACAGCATTTGGGTAAAAGTGATTTTTTTTTCCTTCAAATTGTTTCAAAACTGAGAAGTAAAATTCTATCATTTCTGCTTTATATGTGAAATGTTTTCCACAGATCACGTAGGAACATTAATCTCAGACACTAGACCTTTTTCTTTTTGAAATGCTAAATTTTAAATTTAAGACATTAGATCTGTATGTAATTTCTGTAGGTAGCAATAAATTTTTTGCACAATTTCATAGGCCTCAAACTAAAAGCTAGAGGGCATGACCAAAGACAGGCACTTGTATCCTGAAGTAAGTTTTCTAAAAGGATCACAGATTTCCAAGTATATTTATATTACTACTGCAGACTTTAGGAAAGTGTTTTAAAGATTTTAAACTTCTGCCAAAATAATCAGTGTTCAAATGCAGTAAAATACCTAAGGATCTGTAATCATTTCCTACACAAGCCTACACTGAAATACCTTACAAAATATGCAATTTTGTTACATTTATTACTTAGGAAGTTTTGCAATAAAATATTACTTTGATTTTGGTGTGATAAAATTTAATGTGCTCTAATTATTGTTAGAGCTAAGTCATATTTTTAGAACAAATGAGAACTGTTCTGTATTGACAGATTTTTAAATTAACCAGAAACTGTTCATGTGTTCGACAGCAGTGTGACAAATCAAAAGCACATGCAGGATGGTAGCAACAATAAAGAGCTTCTAAAAATTCATAGGTCTTGTCTCACAGTAAATTTAAGATCAACTACCTTTATCAGCTGTATAAATTTATCTAAATTTGTTCCATTATCATCTTTATCATTGTCAGGTTCTGTCAGCTCACTGTTGAGGAAAGAATTGGAATTCTTATTATCCAGATTCCACTTCTCTGCAGGGCTCTCCATTCATGCTGCCTGTTTTTTAATTTATTATGTAATCTCCCTACTTGGGCATTTTATATACATTTATTTCACTTTTACTATTCCTCCTAGTAACCACATACTCACCATCATCTGTTTCTCTTGATATCTTACTGGTGTTTCTTTCATATGTTATTGATTTATCCAATCAATTGTAAACAGAACGGAGTACTTGTGGCACCTTAGAGACTAACCAATTTATTGGAGCATAAGCTTTCGTGAGCTACAGCTCACTTCATCGGATGCATCCTGTGGAAAGACAATCAATTGTGTTTGTCATAGAGAAACAAAATGGCATTTTGTGCTCTCACTTCTCAGGCTAGTATAAACTGGAGTTTCCAAGTTCTGTTTGATTGTGTCTACACTCGGGATTGTCAGAAATCATGTCACTGGTGCTTTCGCGCCAGCACTCACAAAAGTACTCTGAAACTTGATGAGGGATGGTTCTCAGAACCTGGGCTCCAGCCTGAGCAGGAATGTCTAAACTTCTAATTTTAGACCCATAGGTCAAACCTCACAAGCCCAAGTCTGTTGAGCCAGACTCTGAGACTTGTTGCCATGGGTGTTTTTGTTTTGTTTTTGCCGTACCCTACACCTGCTTAGAGCAAGTCTAGAAGAAAAAGCCATTAATAAATCTCCATTAACACTTCTATTATTGCTAGTATTGGTGCTTCAGGTAGAATTGCTAAAACTTCTCAGTGAAAAGGTGTTAGGACAAATTTCTAACCATAAGCCATTAAGGGATTCATAGAATCATCAATACGTAGGGCTGGAAGGGACCTCAAGAAGTAATCAAGTCCAAGACCTTGTGCTGAGGCAGGACCAAGTAAACCTAGAACATTCATGACTGGTATTTGTCCAATGTCTTCCTAAGAACCTCGAATGGTGGGGATTCTACAAGCTCCCTTGGAAGCCTAATCCAGAGCTTACCTATCCTTATAATTAGAAAGTTTTTTTTTCCTAATATCTGTATCTCCCTTCCTGTAGATTAAGCCTGTTACTTCTTGTCCTACCTTCAGTGCTCTTGGAGAACACTTAATCACCATCCCCTTAACATATGTGAAGGCTATCAGCCCCCTCCCCCCTCAGTCTTATTTTCTCCAGACTCAACTTGCCAGGCTTTTTTAACCTTTCTTGATAGGTCATGTTTGCTAAACATCATTTTTGTAGTTCTCCTCTTGACTCTCTCCTGTTTGTCCACATATACTGATATTCCCCCATGCTGATTTTAACTGACTGTTCAGAGCAATATCTAAGGAGGACTTTTACTGGTGAATATTGTCTGCCTTTCTGCCATGCAAGCTCCATGCATATGTAGAAGGGCAATCACATATTTTTCATGCCAGCGTACAGGGCCTCATACATCAAAGATTCTCTGCAGGTGAGGAGTTTGCTGTCTGCTCAATCCTTTCCCACAGACTTTTTTCATAGACATATATAGTCAAGTCTACAATAGTGTATATTTGTTCATCTGCTCCAAAAGTTCATTTATTATCACACAGAGGTGGTCTCTTGTAGAGAGAAATAAATGAAAGTCTGCTTCTTATCACTGTTGAAATACGGTTATAGTGTGTATCTTTCACTATCTTAGCAGAAATGTCACTATATGAAATGAAGGAGAATAATACTTGTCATGCTGGTGTTCCCTTCGCCAAGCTGCGATAACATTCTGATTGCTTCAGGTTGCTTTTTCTCTATAATTTTCCACTATTGGCTTTGAGAGAGAATATTTCCTATTGCCCCATCACTAGTTGTATTTCCCAATACCTTTTTATCTTAAAACTATCTTTACTCATTATATTTTTTCTGATGTCATCCTTTATTTTTCTCTTTGGTATATGAAATACAAACTCTGCAAGACCCTCTCATAAAAATCACAGAAATGTAGGACTGGAAAGAGACCTTGATAAGTCATCTAGTCCAGTCATCTGCACAGAGGCATGAATAATTGTTCTGTACACCGTCTGATAGGGTGTTTGTCTAACCTGTTCTTAAAAACTTCCAATGACAGAGATTCCACAACCTCCTACATAATTTTACAGTGTTTAACTACCCTTACAGTTAGGAAATTTTTCCTAATGTCTAACCTAAATCTCCCTTCCTGCAATTTAAGCCCATTACTTCTTGTCCTGTCTGCAATGGTTAGGAGAACAATATATCACCCTGCCTCTTTTATAATAACCTTATACATACTTGAAGTCTATTATCATGGACGGTTCTCTTTATCAAACTTTTCTTCTATCTCAGGTTCCTAGTTTCATTACATTTGTTTCTTTGGCAAGAACATGGAAATCCTGCATCATCTGTGTGAAAAAGGTAGTGTGTTCATGAACATAGGGCTTGATTCATCACAGCATTATTCCAGTTTCATTCTTTTGTTTTGTCATTATAAAACTAGAGTAGTTAATATGGCCCAGTCTACAATAGCTATTAATTCACTAGCAGCAATTCATTAGCTAAATTTTTAATCCAAGACAGATCCTAAGTAATCTATTAGATTTTTCTATCACAGAAAAAAATGAATTTTGTAATTCTAGTGAGGAAATCCATTCAGATCAAAATATCCTAAGGAGAGAGTGTAGGAGATAGAGCTTTATTGGCAACTGGCCCATTGGAGTGAATTGCACCCTGAAGGCAATGTGGAACTTGCTTCTGGGATTATATCAGAATGACCGGAAACCTCATTGCCTTCACGGTGAAATTCACCCTAGTGTAAAGGACCAGCACAATTCCAATGCACCTATTAAGCCCCGTTCTGGTGTCTTATGTGGAACTTTAGCAATGCATACATCTTTGTTACTCTACACATGAGTGAATTTTACCCTAAGAGAAAAATGCAAACCCCACTTCTCTGGCCTAGCTTTCCTACTACAATACCAGCAGAACTCATAACAGAAAGAAATACCTGCAAATTGGGATTAGGGGAGAGAGGGCTTCAGAGATCTTAAGTGTTCAGACAGTAGGGTGATGGTACTGTATATATAGAGAAAATGGCAACCTCCATCTCAAAAATGAGGGATTTTGAGTGGTGCAAAAGTTTGAATCAGTTCTTCTCCCCTTCAAGTCTTGTGTTTTGTCATTCTCTCTGTTGGGGCCCTTTGCTACAGAGTTTAATTCTTGCATACTGGATGGGGTCTGGGAAACTTCTATAGCACTGGAAATGTAAGCAGAGTTTCCTGGATATCATCATTGCCATCTGTTACTTATTGGGAGATGACTTAGAGTCCTATTGTCATGAAAGGAACACGACTGCTATGGGACATTGGGGAAAAGGCATCTCTGTTGCTTCATTAAAATTAATTTTGCTGAGTTTACAAAGCTCCAAGCAGCCCTGGCTGGAATTTTCCGCAACCCTTTCCCAGTAGAACACTCAGGGCAGGATCACTTTATACCTTTGTGCCCACAAGCTGTACATAAGCGAATACTCAAATATGAAAGAGTATTACAATCTTGGAGAACTGCCAGGCATTTGCTTTCGTGAGCTACAGCTCACTTCAGTGAGCTGTAGCTCACGAAAGCTCATGCTCAAATAAATTGGTTAGTCTCTAAGGTGCCACAAGTACTCCTTTTCTTTTTGCGAATACAGACTAACACGGCTGTTCCTCTGAAACCTGCCAGGCATTGTTGCTGAAGAAGGGGCAGCTATCGGTGGCCTAGAAGAGATACCAGTCCTGTCAACATTTGTGACAGCTGTTGCCTAGGAGGAGGAGAGAGATGGGAGGTACAGTAAAAATAAGAAAAAACCTATAGGAAAAATTGAGTTGATATTATTGTTCCTGCTGTCTTTATTTCTGTCTCTTTTTAATTATTTTAAATTTCTTTGCCAGAATATGAATTTTTTAAATCAAGACTGGATGCCAGTTGAAAGGATACGTTATCACTGAGACAGATGTTATGGACTTTTAGAAATGAGGGGGTGAGATTTTCTGGCCTGCATTAATCAGGAGGTCAGACTAAATCAGAATGATCCCTTCTGGCCTTAAAAAAAAAATCTATGAATCTCTGAACAGTTGTAGTACTATTAAATAGTGAATGGATTACATCCTCAGTACAGAGTAAAAGAACTAAACCCACACAGTCTGTCTGGTAAATATTACCAGATAAGGCCACAAACCTCACAGCCTCCCACACTATCAAGACATCTGCTATCACTACAGGATGGAGAGGTTCAAAACAAGTTCACCTTCAAAGAACATGGAGATGGTGAGCAGAAGAGTTATTATGAGAGAGGTTCACAAGACATGGCCAAAAGATATCAAAATATTAGAAGGTTTGGACAAGCTTCAGGTAATCTTGGAAATTTTTGGAGGCTGATCCAGATCAAACTAAAGCCCCAGTTCAGCAAAGTACTTAAGATAAGAATTTGATATTTTCAATTTGATTTAGTCACATGCTTTAAGTGTTTCACTGAATTTGGGTCACAAGTCTCCAAATCTTTTGAAATTTGCCCATCACTAATGGTAGTAATCCTGCAAAAATTACATAGAACTTTAAATATGGAGAAAACTAGGCCCACTGAATGCATCACACTGTCTTCACAAGTGAAACCTGCCTTTCTGCAATGATCTTCATCTTGTCCATTTATATTATGAAATATTAAATTGAAGTTCATGCTTGTGTGATGAGTGAAGTTTTTCAAACAATCTCCACGTTGATATTTGTTGTATTTATAGTGCATATTATACAAGGTCTCTGGTCTTGTTTGCCAGTGTATTGCAATTCACAACTGGATTCTATCAGAAATAAAAGAGAGCCAGGTGTTGGGATTCCTTCCGAGAACTTTTTCCACTCTACTTCCCAAAAAACTCAGTTCGACTCCAGCCTTTGTCACTTAGGTATCTTTATTCGGCATACAGAAAAGCTGTGCTGAGTTGATCAGGCTCAAACGTGCAGGTGGGGAATTGATGGATGCAGAATACATCACAGCTCCAAAGTTACATAGAAATTGTCTCCCTTTATATACATTACATATCTCATTTGCTATACGTTGCATCACACTTTTTGACTTTTGCAAAAAATAATCACAGTGCAGCATGCACTGTCCATGCATTGTCCATGTTCAACCTCCTCTTTACCATCTCTCTACATTATCTTATTCATTGTTTTCTTTTTTGTAGTAGGACCCTGGATGTTCTCCCTGTTATCTTAGCTGGTCCAGACATTCTGTCTTTTTAGGTAAATAATCTGTTTACCTCCTAAATTCTACCTTTCAAGAAATGGGGCTCCCTCCATGTGTTAATCACACATATGAGGCCTTGTCTCAACTACGCAGAGTTCCAAGGGTCATTCTTGAATTTGCACTTCCCAAGCTCTGAGTAGAAGAACACCCATTGCAATTTTTAAATTGTCTGTTTGACTCAATGACAATTTCTAGTAATTTTTATCATAATGTTGGGAACAGAAAAATGATGTAAATTAAATTGCATTCCTGTGTTATTTCATGTCTTGGTTAAAAGCAAATTACAGAGTACTTGATTCAGTTTACCTCCCGTATGTTATAGGTAAGTGTCTTACTTTTGCATCAGGATTCACTAGTGCACCCATGCAAAATTTCATTGAAATCAGTGACTACAGTGGGAGAGGTGCATAAGAACTTCAGCCCTAAGTCCCATGAAAATAGTAATACTCACAAGTATCTAATTACTTCATTGACAAATATTTTTCCTTGACAAATCAGCATAACTGTTAGTGCTGAAAATTAAAAGTACTGTAATAAAATGGCTGCTAAAATGGCAAGAAATAGACTACATAAAAATAAATAAAAAAACAAATAGCCAGAACAAAGAAATGTAATTATTATTAAACATAAGTCAGTCATTCAGTAGTTTGTCTCTCAGTTACCCAAGATGATGAGCAATGACCCTTCTGTTGTTATAAATATTTTCATGGGTTTGAATTACATGTAAGTCGCTGTATAAAAAGAAATGTATCTGCACAACATGAACTGATTACAGCAATGGCAGAAACATAAACAAACAGCATAGGTCTAAACAAAATAAATTTTCTGAGACAAATTTGATTGCTTCTTTTGAAAAAATTACAAGATTTGTGGATGCAGATAACTCAGCAGATCTAATCTATTTAGATTCTAGTAAAGCATTTGATGCTGTGTTATGAAATCCTACTCCCAAAATTAATTCAAAATGATTTGGATAAAAATACTGCCATGTAGACTGAAAAACAGTTGAAAGGTCATAAAAAATAATGATAAGCACTGAATTTTAAGCTTGTGGCAAGATGGCCAATTTTAGTCTGGTGGGTCCTGCACTTTCCTTGGCGGGGAGCTAAGAAGCCACCCTTTGCCCCTACTCTTGGGTGCCGAGGGCCCCATTACTAGCCTGGGAAGTTGGTAGAGGAGGGAAGCAGGGGAGGGATCTGGGTTTGCTCCTTGCTCTGAGTCCCAGCCCCTCTCACCCTCATCCCCCTTAAGTGGGATTACCATCAGTCCTTAGATGCTGGGGGGAAGGGAGTCTCCCTTACTTCAATTCTCAGGTCTTCCAAATCTCTCAACACACCTCCAAGCTCCAGTCCTCCCTCCTCCTCCTCTGTCTGCCTGACCGGGGGGGGGGGGGTTATTAGGTTACTACAGGGCCTTAATTGACTGCAGGTGCTCCAATTAACCTGCAGCCACCTTCCCTAGTCTACAGGGGACCACGCCTTAATTAGCCTTGAGTTTATATATTTCCCCTCTAGCACTCTCCCACTGCTCCCTGGCCCTCCTGTATCACAAGCTACAGAGAAGTTTCTAATAGAATAATTGGTATTAGGTCCCTCCTTAATTCATGTGTTCACTAGTGATCTAAATAACACCTCTACACCGACATTCCACACAAAGTTGGACTACAAGCCGTCAGGAACAGTATCCCTGATAATGTCACAGCAAACCTGGTGGCTGAACTTTGTGACTTTGTCCTCACCCATAACTATTTTGCATCTGGGGACAATGTATACCTTCAAATCAGCAGCACTGCTATGGGTACCCACATGGCCCCACAGTATGCCAACATTTTTAGGGCTGACTTAGAACAAAGCTTCCTCAGCTCTCGTCCCATAATACCCCTACTCTACTTGCGCTACATTGATGACATCTTCATCATCTGGACCCATGGAAAAGTAGCCCTTGAGGAATTCCACCATGATTTCAACAATTTCCATCCCACCATCAACCTCAGCCTGGACCAGTCCACACAAGAGATCCACTTCCTGGACTCTACAGTACTAATAAGCAATGGTCACATAAACACCACCCTATACTGGAAACCTACTGACCGCTATACTTACCTACATGCCTCCAGCTTTCATCCAGACCACACCACACAATCCATTGTCTACAGCCAAGTGCTACGATACAACCACATTTGCTCCACCCCCGCAGACAGAGACAAACACCTACAGGATCTCTATCAAGCATTCTTACAACTACAATACCCACCTGCTGAAGTGAAGAAACAGATTGACAGAGCTAGAAGAGTACCCAGAAGTCACCTTTTACAGGACAGGCCCAACAAAGAAAATAACAGAACGCCACTAGGCATCACCTTCAGCCCCAAACTAAAACCTCTCCAACGCATCATTAAAGATCTACAACCTATCCTAAAGGATGACCCATCACTCTCACAGATCTTGGGAGACAGGCCAGTCCTTGCTTACAGACAGCCCCCCAACCTGAAGCAAATACTCACCACACAACAGAACCACTAACCCAGGAACCTATCCTTGCAACAAAGCCCGTTGCCAACTGTGTCCAAATATCTATTCAGGGGACACCATCATAGGGCCTAATCACATCAGCCGCACTATCAGAGGCTTGTTCACCTGCACATCTACCAATGTGATATATGCCATCATGTGCCAGCAATGCCCCTCTGCCATGTACATTGTTCAAACTCGACAGTCTCTACGTAAAAGAATAAATGGACACAAATCAGATGTCAAGAATTATAACATTCATAAACCAGTTGGAGAACACTTCAATCTCTTTGGTCACTCGATTACAAACCTAAAAGTGGCAATTCCTGAACAAAAAAACTTCAAAAACAGACTCGAACAAGAGACTGCTGAATTGGAATTAATTTGCAAACTGGATACAATTAACTTAGGCTTGAATAGAGACTGGGAGTGGATGGGTCGTTACACAAAGTAAAACTATTTACCCATGTTTATTCCCCCACCCCCTACACCCACTGTTCCTCAGACTTTCTTGTCAACTGCTGGAAAATGGCCCACCTTGATTATCACTACAAAAGGTCCCTCCCTCCCCCGCTCTCCCGAGGTAATAGCTCACCTTAAGTGATCACTCTCGTTACAGTGTGTATGGTAACACCCACTGTTTCATATTCTCTGTGTATATAAATCTCCCCACTGTATTTTCCACTGAATGCATCCGATGAAGTGAGCTGTAGCTCATGAAAGCTTATGCTCAAATAAATTTGTTAGTCTCTAAGGTGCCACAAGTACTCCTTTCCTTTTTGCAAATACAGACTAATATGGCTGCTACTCTGAAACCTAAACAACACAGCATTTCTCTACATTGTCTCACAGTTCGGACTACGGGAGCATGAATAGCAGTGTGCACCAAAGTGATGACATTAGCCAAATTCATGAAATGTACAGATGATGCTCACTTGGAATTTGATGGAGAAGTAGCCTGCCCTACGAAAGAGCATGTGGTCACCTGCTCTTTTCAATGATGTTTGCAGCCTGTGGGTGAAATCCAGCCATCATTGAAGTCAATGGGAGTTTTGCTGTAGATTTCAATGGGGTCTAGATTTCACCCTTCATATATGCTATTTGATGCCTGACTTTTCTCAGAAGCGTCTGCCTCCCTTTTGTGCTTGGCAAGTAGATTGTGACTGATTCTCTCAGCTGTGGACTTTGGATCACAGGATCTATGCCTTTGCTCCCTCCAGATTGCAA